AGAACATGCAGAACCACCCAGAAAGGTCCTGGTTCCCCCGGGATTCGAACCCAGAACCCTCTTGCTGGGAGGCGACAGTGCTAACCACCACACCACCGTGCCGCCCTACTTATTTCCCCCACTGTTTAATATAGTTGGCATTATAGGGTTAGGTTCTTCTCCTACCTTGAGCCCGGTGAGGAGCGCCTCCACACAGAGCCGGCAGGTGCAGGAGGTGAGGTCTTCTGGGCAGTCGGCGTTAGCCCCCAGCAGCTTCTGGACGCTGATCTCCGGGAGGGGCCAGCCCCTGACCAGCGTGTGCAGCAGCCCCGGCCGCTCGTGCAGGAAGCAGGCCTTAAAGAGCAGCGGGTACAGGTTAAAGGAGACCCCGCAGAGGTCCGGGTCTGGGCCTGGACCTGGACCTGGACCTGGACCTGGGCCTGGACCTGGACCTGGACCTGGACCTGGACCGGTCTGGGTCTGGGTCTGGATCAGGCCCTCGGCGGCCAGGAAACGAAGAGACTTCATGACCAGAACTGCCCCCCCCCCCCTACAGCTCTGGGTTTAGGCTTTGTCTGCTCTGATAAGGGTCCCAGACCGGTGTGCCGGGGTAAATACGGGGGGGGGAGAAAGAGGTGGGAAAACAAGAGTTATTATTAGAAACAGCTGTCTCATGTCCTTGGTCAGGCGGGTGTCTGTTATCCGGAGGGAACTAAACCTAAATACTTTAGTACTTAACCTACTTTACTATATTTGAGAAGCCTCACTTGTTGCTTTGCCAGAGATATTGGAAGATAAATCATTTTGTTATTATATATTATTTTATTACATTACATTACATTACATTTCATTGTATTGTATTATATTATATTATGTTATATTATATTATATTATATTATATTATATTATTTTATATGATATTATATTATACTATATTATATTATATTGTATTGTATTATATTATATTATATTATATTATATTATATTATATTATATTAATTATATTATATTATATTATATTAATAATATATATAAATATATATATTATTATATTATTAAATAATCATTCAAATAATTCATAGTAATTATTAAATAACTAAGAATGACTACACATGTTCATTTGTGATCAAAGATACTAAACCGACACAAAGAATTGCAGAATTTTTTGCTAATTTAAAAAAGTTTGCTAGTTATTCTGTAGAGTAAATCATGAAAACACCCAAATCCTTTTATCGACTAAACTAAAGTATCCACAATGAGAACATTTATTATCAAGTTATGCAAAGTCTGTCCATGAGGCAAATGAGTCTCCACGTCAGGAAAAATACGAAGATTGAGTCACTAAAACAAAAGCACCATCTTAAGAAATAAACCTGAGGAAATAAATATTCCCCTGCAGGACCTCTGAGGGTGCAGTTCCCCGTGTAATCCACCGGGGGGCGCTGAGGAGCCTCAGAAAATATCTGAATCACAGACTGATGTTATTTATATTTTGTCCATGAATACTTATTAAATATCTCTAAATGGTCTGTCCGATTCCTTTCATAGCTTTTCAGACATGTATTTGAATGAAAACCACAAACTGGTTTGTTCATTAAAAGAAACATTCAGTTATACTTACTCATGCACATCGATCAAAGAAGCTATTTTAGTACATATAGTGTATAGACACTATTTAAATAATCTGAATTTGGTTATTGCGTTTGTCTGTTTACTGTTAAAATTAAATAACTGGTAATTAAGTCGCTGTGAAACTCTGAGAGTCTGGAAACACTTCAGGTTTTAGCCTCTGTAGCTAATTGCTAAATACTTTTTTTTAACTTGCTTTTAGAGCAATTTATTCAAAAATACTCATGGCTGATGTGTAAACATGGAGCTTCTGCTTCTGCAGTCACTCACACACAATAATTACGTCCTTTTTTTGTAGGTTTTAGGCTTCGTTTTCTTTCAGAAACACACTTTACTTTTTTGTTCTGGCAAGTCTTTGCTGTTTTACTTGTTGAAAACAAACAGAATTGAGGTTCTGGAGAAGTCTGAGAACCGAGGGCTCTCTGCTTTTCACACTTCTGAACAAAAGCACCAAATCAACACAAAGACTGACTTCCTGTTGTCTGGACTTTGTTTGAGCTGGTTCAGTTTCACACGTTTATCCTCACAAACATTTACTTAAACCAACAACTTCAGCTTTATCGTTGGTTGGTGGTTTAATAGAAGAGTTTAGGTGGTTTAACAACAGAGATAAATCCTGCAGCATCCAGGGGAAGAGCTGGAAATCTGACCTGTTCTTAGTCAGATTACCAAAAATCCAAATAAAGCTGCAGCTTTATTTGGATGTTTGCTTGTAATAACTAAACTGCTCTTGCTCACATCCCACCTTTAGACATTCTTGGATGTTTTTCACCAACTATTAGTTTATATTTACGGAAAACAAGATTTAGATCAGACGTTTGTGCGTCCTTTTCTCATATTTCTGCGCGTTTTCTAACGAGACAGAAGTTTGTTCTCAACTTTTCATTTATTATCAAATACAAAAGTTTTATTGCACTGATACAGCTGTAGAAGCAATGAGAGAAGAGCAGTAACGTCTGGTTCCTCCGGTGTGAAGTCACATCTCCTCTTTTAACTGAAATAGTGGCTACAGTGGGTTATATTACATAATGTACATCCGTCTGTTTTCAGACAGAAAAGGTCCATAATCGTATTCCTGTTAGCTGCCGCCGCCCACAGACTCTCTGACGGGCAGCGCTGCGGTGGGTCCTATGTGGGTCCAGAGGTAGCCTTTCTCTGGCCGGATGGGGATGGTGGGAAACGGCGAGCTCCGCGATTTGAAATATTCGGAGGGGGCGTGGCACACGAATTCCAGGAACTCCATCTTTCTGGGCAGATCCTCCTCCGGACCTGACGGGAAAAAAGGGGAAATCTCCACAGTCAGACACAACACAGAGAAGAATAAAACTGCATGTGTCTGGATTAGGCTTGTCCAGATCAAGATTTTGATCCTGATCCCGGCCTATCAGAGCATGTGTTAAAAGTTTAAAGTTATTTATTTACTTATTTAGTTGTCAAACTCATGTTGAACAGGGATTTACTCTGATAACAACTTAATGGTTAGGACACCTGTGGGTAATGCTAATGCTAATACTTAAGGCTGTGCTGGAAAATGAGCGGGCCGGATTTTAGGGAACAAC